AGTCAAAATAAATATAGTCAAAATAAATATAGTCAAAATAAATATAGCCAAAATAAATATGGTGAAAAAAATATGGTGAAAAATAAATATAGGAAAAATAAATATAGGAAAAATAAATATAGGAAAAATAAATATGGTGAAAAATAAATGTAGGAAAATTAAATATAGTCAAAATAAATTTAGTAAAATTAAATATAATAAAATTAAATATAGTAAAATTAAATATAGTCTTTGCCCAGTGTTTCAACCATTTTAGTGTCTTCTGTTTGGGGTGTTATTGGTCAAAATAGTGACTCAATGAATTAAACATTGCACTCACGGGCCATTTTTGCTGTGCCACTTGGAGTCCAAATCATGGATAGATCATGGAATGGGTTGTGTTGGAAGGGACCTTAAGGATCATCTCATTCCAACCCCCTGCCATGGGCAGGGGCACCTTCCACTAGCCCAGGTTGCTCCAGTCTGGCCTTGGACACTTCCAAGGCTGGGGCAGCCACAGCTGCTCTGGGAATATTGGGTGTCTGGAATGATTTGGGATAGGGAAGACACTCCTGTAGGGATAAGTGTCATCTAAGAGGGTCTGTTGTAGCTGTGTCCTTAAGGGACACCACTTAGGAGTGTTAAACTAAGAACTTCCTTCCTTCTCTTTCCTTCATTTTTAGCTTCCAAGGTCTTTATCGTGGTGTGGGATAGATGTGTGGACCACAAAGGAGGGAATTCCCAGTGCTGCCAGTCTGGCTCTGCCATTCCATGGATTATCAGAGCAAGGGCAAAGTGGGATGTTTACATCACTAACAGGACCATCTCCTCCCTTTTTTTCCAGGGAAACAGCTTCCAGAGTTTTGACCTGAAGCTCGTGTGGGTGGATGAAAACTGTGGAGAAAAATTGGATCCGGAACTGTAAGTGAGAAATTCCCTCTTGGATCTTAAGGAAAAAATAATAAGAAATGTTCAAGTTGATTGTGAAACTGTGAGGGAACGACTCAAACCTTTGTGCCATGTCCTGTCCAACCGGTGGGATTGGGCTGGGGGGCTTTGGGGCACCTTCCAGGTGGGCTCACAGCAGCTTGGGCTTTGCTCACCTTCGCTGGCAGATTGGAATTCCAGGATCACTGAGGCTGGAAAAGCCCTTCAAGGGCACAGAGTCCACCCTATGACTGATCCCCACCTTGTCCCCGATGCCCCCCTTGTCCCCCAGCCCAGAGCACTGAGTGCCATGGCCAGTCCTTCCTGGGACACCTCCAGGGCTGGGCACTCCAAACCTCCCTGGGCAGCCCCTGCCAAGGCCTGACCACCCTTTCCAGCAAGAAATTCCTCCTGATGTCCAAGCTGACCCTCCCCTGGCGAAGCTTGAGGCCGTTCCCTCTCATCATTATTAATTAATGCCGTTTAACAGGATGATTTAGGTTCCAGACCTACAAAATTGACCAGTTGAGCATCTCTTCAGAAGGAAAGCCCAGCTGTAAAAGCACGATTTTGAAGGAGAAAGGGAAGAGCAGGAGCTGCTGTTGGACTCAGAAATGTGTTTCCATAGTCTCTGTCATGTCTTTTCCCTTCCAGGCATGGGCTGCGCATCACGACCCCAGAAGAAACCTTCCTCCTCTCTACCAAAGACCTGCAGATAAAGGTCAGTCTTTGTGATTTTTGCCATCTCTTTATTCTTTCAAGCAGAATAATCAGCAGAATAATCAGTGGGGGTTGATTTGGGTTTTTTTTTTTTTGGCCCCTTGGCCAAGCCAGTCGTGTATTAGATGGCCGGAGGTGGCTTAGATGGGTCACAGAATTCCAGAAAGTGCCGAGTTGGAAGGGAACCACAAGGATCATCCAGTCCAACTCCATCCCCAAGAGTCCTGCCCTGTGCCCCAAAGGATCATCCAAAGGCTCCTGGAGCTCTGGCAGCCTTGGGGCTGTGCCCACTGCCCTGTTGGTGGGAGATGAAAAATCATAGAACCATAGAATCAACTGGGTTGGAAGGGACCTCTGAGATCATCAAGTCCAACCCTTGATCCAACACTGCTGCAGTTACTAGACCATGGCACTGATGCCACATCCAGTCTTATCTTAAAAACCTCCACCACTTCCCTGGGCAGCCCATTCCAATGGCTGATCACCCTCTCTGGAAAGAAATATCCAGGGGCTGGAAGTTCTGTGCCCTGGGCAGACAGAACAGCCCCATCAGCGTGGTCCCATGCCCAGGCCAGCTGGAAATTCAGGCTTAAATACCATGGAATTGTTCTTTCCTGCAGTATCCAAGATAAGACCCGTGGGTGCTGTAGATGGGTCACATTCCAAAGGGTTTGGTGGGAACCCAACAGTTTGTTTGTCGCTGTTAAAGTCGGGACGGGCAGAGCGACACAGAATCTTCTTCCAAAGCAGGGACAGGGTTACAAGAAGGCTGCAATCACTTTGTTCTAGCAGGTTGCAAACATTTATACTTTTCACGTATCACACATGTCAATTTTCTGTTGGTATCTTCATATAAACATATATCAGGCTACACACATGTCATCCTGCTGTTGGTACACATAGATCAGGTCATACTTGTCAGCTTTATTGCTGGTATTTTTATGTACACACACATCAGGCCATATTCGTGTCAACCTACTATTGGTGTCTTGATGTATAAATAAATCAGGATTGGCTGAAATAGAGTAAACACAGTTTTTGTCGAGTCATCCTGACTTGCAGAAAGTACAGGAAGTCCATTTCTGTCTTCCATCTTCTTCCTGTCTGAAAGTTGCCCACGTTCCTCTGCATGTTGTGTTCTCCTCCTTTCAGGGGTGTGCTGTAATCTGGTGATATGGTTTGAAGTCTCCAAACCTCACCACAAGAACTCCCCCCTCAAAAACCAAGGGAGAAGAGAGAAAAAAACCCCATGAGAACCGAAACGAGAGAGAGGCAGCTAAAGCAATATATATAAATATATTTACACTTATGTTACATTTATATACAATTGAAATATATGTACAATTTTAAAAGGGAAAGGGAAGGGGGAAAGGAAAAAAAAGGAACAAAACCAAAATAAAATATATATATGTCGATCAATAGCCCAAGATCTAGCAACTAAAAGAATTAGCAAAAGAATATCTTACTACTCTCCTTGGGACAATGGAAAGTCGTGCTGGAACAACCGTCAGCAACCTCCGCCTCCCAAGGTCGGCAAGGCCTCACTAGGCCTCACTAGGCCTTACCAGGCCTTACCAGGCCTCACTCCCCAACACGACAGACTCAATAGCAGGGAAACCCACACCTCCAAAGCCGCCAGAAGGAAAGAGGAATGAAGGCCTCTCCTCCTTTATTCTTATACCCCTGGCTTACATAAAAATCGTAGGGAATACCGGGTAAATCTGGGCACTTCCTTAGTTACAAACTGGTCACCAAGGAAGGCCTAGACTAAACTACCACATCTGGTTTGTGTCCACTGCTTTGTCGATAAATGCCAGGCTGCTGACAGGCTCGCTGTCAACCCTGACATTTGTTGCTGTTTTTCCTGAAGTAACTCCTGCTGGGAGCTGGGCTGTGTGTCCCCCCTTGTGACCCCCACTGTCCCTGTGCCCGCAGGCCGTGTGGCAGTGGAAGCTGAACCAGGCCGTGCGCCAGGCCCTGAACGGGAAGCGGGATTTCCCGCTGTGGGGCCGGACGGGCGAGGGCAGCGAACCCCCGCCCTGCCGCTTCTTCTCCTACGTCTTCAGGCTGGAGGGCAGGTTCAGGAGCGCGGCCTACGAGGGGGAGTGGCGCTGGGGGAAGCCCCATGGCAAGTAAGGAACCTTTTTTTTAACCCCTTTTCCTAAGCAAAACCGCTCCAGGATAGCTCTGCTGGCTCGGTGTGGATCTGCTTGGACCCTGTGGGTGTGTGAGTGGAGGAGGTGTGGGATTGTGGAATGGTTTGGGTTGGAAGGGACCTTAAAGATCATCTTGTTCCACCCCCTGCCATGGGCAGGGACACCTTCCACTAGCCCAGGTTGCTCCAACCTGGTCTTGGACGTTTCCAGGGCTGGGGCAGCCACAGCTTCTCTGAGAAATCGTTCCCGTCCCTCCTCACCCTCCCAGCCAAGAATTCCTTCCCAATATCCCATCTAACCCAACTCCATCTCAGTTTAAACCATTCCCCCTTGTCCAAAGTCCCTTTCCCTCGGAGGTCACGCCATGTTTTCCCTTGATTTTCCCAAACTTTCCACTTTCCTGAGCGAAGGGAAAACTTTGTGGGAGAAACCCCTGAAACAGGAGCAGTGTTGAGGTGCCAAGTTGCTGCTTGAGATGAGAGTTCAGAGCATCAATCTCTGACTGGAGAAGCCCTTTGGGGAAATGGAGCCACTTGAAGGAGGAGGGAAATAAGAAAAATGAGGGGAAGTTTTCTGCTCTTGAATCCTTTGGCAGATTAATTAAAGTGTGAGGAAGCAGCAGGACCCCAAGGAAACTTCTCAGCTGAAGTGTGGGCACTGAATGCAAGATGAGAGAATTCCAGATTGGTTTGGGGTTGGAAGGGACCTTAAAAATCCTCAATTCCACCCCCTGCAATGGGCAGGGTCACCTTCCACTAGCCCAGGTTGCTCAACCAGGCCTTATCCAACCTGAACACTGCCAGGCTTGGGGCATCCACAACCTCCCTGGGCAACCTCCCCACCCTGGCAGGAAAAAATGTCTCCCCAATATCCAAAGCAGGATGGGAGGCAAATGAGTTCCACTGGACAGCTGGGGTGGAGATAACCTTTTGCAAAGTTACTTAGGGGGTTAATTCTCGTGCCTGAATCACAGAATCATTAATGTTGGAAAAGACCCCCAAGGTCATCGAGTCCAATCTTCGCCCAAATCCCACAATATCCACTAAACCACACCATGAAATGCCACATCCACTCCTTCCTGGAGCATTTCCAGGGATGGTGATGACACAATAAGAGAAAAGTTTGATCCTGGGCTATCAAAAATCATGTTTTAACATCTGAACTTTTATCAAAGGAATTAAAAATTAAATCCAGAAGGAGCTCAAATGCTTTTAATGGGAACACGGGAACTGTTCATTAAATCCAAGTTCAAGCCAGCCAGGACAAAAGGGAATGGTCTGGAAATCAAATGGTCCAAACCAAAATGTCTTTGATATAGGATAGAGCACAGTCCCTGTTTTTTTGGACACAAAACCAGGCTGATTTGGAAGTGTTGTGCTCCCTGAGTTTTATACTGTTCACAGCTGCTATTGAAGTAAAAATGATGTGATTTCACAAGAATTCCAAAGCAGATGAGGCTTCTAAGGGGAAAAAAATATCTCAGGTCCTTATTTAACTTAGGTTTTTTTTTTTAGAGACTTGGTTTGAAAGAGCCTTAAAATACTGAAAATATTCGGAATCAGAAATGGTTCGGGTTGGAAGGGATCTTAAAGATCATCAATTCCCAACAAGCTTAATCCTGAATTTTCTGTGGAAGAGACTGTGCTGTGCCCTACAACTCTGTCTCCTTCTCCTTTAGGGTTTGATAATGGGGATCAATCAATAAATAAGTAAATTCCTCTGCTGCTGCAGGTGAAGTGACTTGACTGAGGCATCCCAGGAACTTTGTGGCAGAATTAAGTGACTTCAAAGTTTTAAAACCTGGGCTTTGAGTTGCTTAATTCCCTGACTGAACTTCCCATTCCTAGGATTTCTGTGCTGTGTGACCTGCTGCTAATGGAGGGTTAGGGAGCAGGAGCCCTGGCCTGGATGGCAGGGCCACCTCTGAGGGGGAGGCTGGCACAGCAAAGCATGTGAGCAGGGCTGTAGGAGTGGGAATTAGGGCTTTCAGCAGAACCATCTGGATTCCCCCACTGTTCTGTCCCAGTATTCCAGGTGACCTGGTGTGGGGGAAGAAGGTTCTCCCACTGGGAAGTTGCTTAAAGCGTCCCCGTGGCTGGAGCAGGCACAGAACCATGGAATGTCCTGAGCTGGAAGGGATCCCCAAGGATCATCCAGTCCAACTCCTGGCCCTGCACAGACACCCCAACAATCCCACAGTCCCTCAGAGTGTTGTCCAAACCCTCCTGGAGCTCTGGCAGCCTTGGGGCTGTGCCCACTGCCCTGGGGAGCCTGGTCAGTGCCCAACCACCCTCTGGGGGAAGAACCTTTCCCTGAGATCCAACCTGACCCTGCCCTGGCACAGCTCCAGCTGTTCCCTCATCCTCTTTGGCTTCTCCCTTTTGCTGGCTTCCAAACCAACAAAGCAAAAGGAGCTGTATTTTAAATCTACTTGATTTTAACCTGACCAGTTCTCTGCAACCCCCCAAAAAACTGAGCCCTTCTCGTGTGGGTGTTTCAAACAACAGCCTCGGTGAAAGTCAAACAAACGTGTCATGGTTTTGGTGTTGCACCATCTTTGCTTAGACTGAGAGAGAGTGGGGTTAGATTGGATGGTAGGAAGGAATTCTTGGCTGGGAGGGTGGGGAGGGACTGGAATGGATTTCCCAGAGAAGCTGTGGCTGCCCCTGGATCCCTGGTATGTCCAGGTTGGGATGATGTTTGGAAAGCAAATGTTTCAACTGCTCTCCTTCGACTTCTCCTTTCAAGACTATTCCTGGGAGAGCTGGGGGGGTTCCCCTGGAGAAGAGAAGGCTCCAGGGAGAGCTGAGAGCCCCTTGCAGGGCCTGAAGGGGCTCCAGGAGAGCTGGAGAGGGACTGGGGACAAGGGATGGAGGGACAGGATAGAGGGAATGGCTTTAAACTGAAAGAGGATAAATTTAGGTGGGATATTGGGAAGGAGTTGTTGGCTGTGAGGGTGGGGAGGGACTGGAATGGATTTCCCAGAGAAGCTGTGGCTGCCCCTGGATCCCTGGAAGTGTCCAAGGCCAGGTTGGAGCAACCTGGTCTAGTGGAAGGTGTCCCTGCCCATGGCAGGGGTGGAATGAGATGATCTTTAAGGTCCCTTCCAACCCAAACCCTTCTGGAATTGTGTTGTCTCTGGCTGGGGAATGTGCAGGGATCTGTGTTTGGGGTGATGCAAGAATGAACAGGGTGGGTGGGGTGGGGTGGGGTGGGAGCCCAGGAGGGAGGGACATGAATTCAGGCCTGGCAGTAACTTGCCCATCCCGTTGACCCCTCCGGTGTCACTTTGCATTGTTCCCTCCTGTGATCACTTCTCCAACCCCCACACAAAACCAGATGGAAAGATAAGATCCCTTCAGGCCAGTGCTTGTCTCCTTTGTTTGCCTGCTGCCCTGGTGTCATTATGGTGTCTGTGGGGATGTGCCAAGGCTGGAACTTCATCTTAATCACAGCTCTTTAATCACATGCTGCAATTAAACCAGGATCATGTGCAAGGTCCCGAAGGGATGACCCAGCACCTCTAGCAAACGCTTTGGAGATTAGGGAACTTGGAAGTGGGTTCTTCCCGCTCGTTCCAGAGCAGGAAAATATTATGGCATTAAATCCTCATGGTATTAAATCCTCACAATGCAAAGGAAAGTCCTGGAGAACTTGAGTGTCTCTGTCCTCGGAGGAAATATTTGATGTTGGCTGTGGAATCCCAGAATGGTTTGGAAAGAACCTTAAGGATCATCCAGTTCCAACCCCCTGCCATGGGCAGGGACACCTTCCACCATCCCAGGGTGCTCCAACCTGGCCTTGGACACTTCCAGGGATCCAGGGGCAGCCACAGCTTCTCTGGGAAATCATTCCCGTCCCTTCTCACCCTCCCAGCCAACAATTCCTTCCCAATATCCCATCTAACCCAACTCCATCTCAGTTTAAACCATTCCCCTTGTCCTGTCCCTCCATTCCCTTGCCCAAAGTCCCTTTCCCTCGGAGGTCACGCCACGTTTTCCCTTGATTTTCCCAAACTTTACACTCTGCTGGTCCTTAGTGAAGGGAAAACTTTGTGGGAGAAACCCCTGAAACAGGAGCAGTGTTGAGGTGCCAGGTTGCTGCTTGAGATGAGAGTTCAGAGCATCAATCTCTGACT